TTTTTTGAATCAGCCCGATCGGATGCTAGGTGTGCTGATAAGAGCAGACACATCTAGCACCGTCAGGGAGGCTCCATCTATTTGTGGGGAGCAGCACCTGCTGGAAATCGGGTCCAGCGTCCCCTTGGATACATCTTTATAGCACAGTGTTTGTTGGGCATGTGGCCATTAGAGTTGTTGTTCCCGAGCTTCCTTCTCTCCCTCGGGGCTGCCTATGTTACCCTTCCAATTTGCAAAGCTCTTCCTTCCCACTGACCTAGCCCCACCCAGGATAGTGTCCACCGTGCTTTAATGTCTACGCACGTCCTGGCGGTAATGGCTCAACTCCTACCCTTGGTGTCTGCAACCCGCCTTATTCTAACCCCCCATTTTGTAAAACCCTTTGTACCTTTTCAAACCTTGTACCAACATCAAAATCCAGCGTTCTCCACAACAATGAGCCTTGATATTCAGCACCCTCCATTGTTCATAAATACAACATCTAATCCTGGAGGATCTTTCAGACCCCTGAAACCTCTGCCTTTTCATAAGTTTTGCGTACCACAATCTGATCCTTGGACCTGCGTCAGCAGGGGAGCAATGCGCAATCTAATCCTTGCACCTTTTGTTTGATTGAACAGACCTCCTGGTCCATTATTGTGTATATGGTGTCAGCTGGATCACGGCTCTCCCAGCCCCTACTCTGGAAGACAGGCCGGCATCTCCATTAATAGCCAATCTTACAGATTAGCAGTGTACAGTTATAGTGGTGCATAGTTGTAGTCTCAGGCTGGCTGGCCACTCACAGGGCTGATTGAGAGAACAGGGGAGGGGACAGAGCGAAGGGAAGGGAGGGAGGCGTCAACGGGACAGAAGGGGGTGGCTGGGACGGGATAATAGGAAACTTAGAACTTTTAAGTTTTTAATTATTACTCATGGGAAAAAATAAGAGGGTCTGGAATCCCTCACGAACAACCCGGTGAATGACCTGGGGCCAAACCCAGCTTAGGCTCCTGGAGTCCTGGAAACCGGATCCGGTGTCCCAAAAGACAAATTCCTTGAAATAGAAAAGAAGGTGAAACTGGGGCCGTAATGGCAATTAACCCAGAAGACAACCTACTCTCAGGAAAACACAGGCTCAAGTCCATTAGACATTACTGTCCCCTCCCCCATCGCCTGGGTGAGAGGCTAAAACGGCCCCAATGCCCCAACCAGGACACCAACCATTTGGAGAGGCAATGTCTCCCTTTTGAATCCTGTCACTAAGCCCGAGTCCCTTCCCCAAGGTTAATGTAATCATTCACTCAATGAGGTTGCGTTGTTTGTTGTCTTTCCCCTCTGAACCAGTCAATGTGAATCATACATCGAATCCTCTTTTCACTCTTTTGTGCCCGCACACGCGCACACGTCCTTCACACTTGTGGTTCTCAGCAGATGAATACACCTGGCCGTGATAACGGCCAGGCTCAGTCTAAGAACGTCTAAGAACAATCGTAGCAGATGAGCATGCTTCTCTGTTACGAACAAGGAGGACGATCACGAACGACCAAGACTAGCACTTAGATGCAGATGTCGTGCACGATGAAGCGCATCACTTATCACGAATCGGACTCCGAGGATGAGCACAAGAGGGATCCCGACGGCCATAGTGTGGCGAGCTCGAAAATGACGAGCACAGCGAACTGCCCTGTCCCGAAGATGGCGCCCACGGTGCCCAGTGTAAAGGGGAGCTCCGCCGCAGCCAACAGGTAAGCCCGCTTCTCTCCTTCTCTATCGTCGACAATTCATAGGCAATGAGATCTCACTCGAGGCCTCACTAGTTAGTCGGATATCCTTCTATAATGGAACTGAAACCCTTTCCCTGTCGAGCCACATATCTCTTATAGGCTTGAGGTCGTACTAATACTCTCTGCACCTTTCCAATTCTAACGGATATCCCCAAGGAGTAAGGCCCACACACGGCCTGAGAATGTCATCATCAGGCTGACCAAGCCCAGATAATTGAGAGTGATTTTATTCTACTCACCTGACTGTATCTGAGTTCAAACTCGGGTCTGCATTTAAACAGTTCAGAGTATACTAACTGAGCTAGGTCCGTTGGTCGTACTGCCACTCTTGGAAACAGTACCAGGTCCGGCCAAAAGCGGGACTAAACCAAATAAGAAAATAATAGATAAAAGAGAAAGGTTAAGTGGCAGCAGGAGAGAGGGAGACTGCTAGCACCCTTTGTCCCACCGACCGGGTCCGTGGTCAGACCGTTCGACAAAATAGTCCTGCCGGACCCTCAACCCCTCAGTTTCCTTTGTCATGCTTCGTCACTCCCCTCTCACCTGCTTGGCCTTGATCTCCTACCTGGTGGTTGAAAGTCCAATGTCATAACTTATAGGGCTAGGCCCATCTCTGACCATAGCAGCCGTGGATTTTATTAAAAAGATGATCCGCCCTAGGCCTAGACCTGCCAAAATTCCCAAAGGTTGCACCTTGACCTACCAAACCGTGTCAAGGCCACAACTTGGCCTATGGGCCGAATCCATGGTCGCCGAACCCTGACATTCGTTGTGTGGGCGTTCAGTCTCTATTTATATCTGCCTCACACACCATTTATCACAGAGGGGCTACTCCATCGTTGATCATGGCCCCTGCACGCAGCCACTTTTCCGAAGCCGCATCTTTTACCACTTCAGTAAGCGGAAACCCTTGACTTTTACATGTGTCGTACCGTCGTACGCCTTTCCCAAGTCGTAATTGATCCCCACTAGCCAGCAATGTATAAAATTCAAAACTCCCTTTTGCGCTACGTGCTACTTGGCTCCAACATTACCTTAAAAACTGCGTAGCACAACGAACGTATTCGCGCCCCTTCATGTTCGGGCGAACGTGTATGCGCGTTCACGCGAACAGCTCACGAACATGTTCGGGCGAACATATTTTTTTTTTCGTAAAAAAAAACAAATTAATTAATTAATTAATTTTCGGTTTTTTATTCTTAACTCGTGATTGGCTACGAATTTGAACATGACTCCAAGGCAAAAGTTGCTTGTATCGTTATTTTACATGATATAAAGTTTTGTCATATTTTTTTGAGAACTTTGTTTTTGTTTTTTTTTTAAAATGTTCGCGTTCGGAGTGTTTTGGGCGCTTGTTCGAGCTCGAGCGAACATGTTCGTGCTCGCCTCAGAACGCGAACACTGTGCTACGTAGCTTAATACATGTTATTAGTTAAAATAGGATATTATTTTTAAAATTGGTACTCGCAAGCTATTAATTTCATGTTAAAATCATCATATTCTGGACTTGAATGAAACTTAGAATACGAGTAGTGAACCCGAAGAATGCAATGGATAGGCCATAAATTGAAACAGAGGTGAAGATTCAAGGCAATCACGTACTGAACATTATGGTTTAAGTGTGGATTTCATTGCACTTTCATACATTTTGTAACTTAAAAGTTGTTACGGTAAATTGACATGAAGTTGTCATAACTTGAAACGCAAAAGAAGTTTAACACTCAATGCAATGAACCACTGAACAACAATGTTGAACTCTCAATTTCATCACACCTTGATCAAATTTGTGTGAGCATTGAGTCAGACCTATTTTTCATGACATTGCGACTTGCATAAATTGGGACTCAATTGAAAAGTAAAGGCAATCACACGGTAAACGAGATGATTTAGGTATAGATTTCCTCGCGCTTTTTCGTATATCACTGAGCATTGAGTCGGACATTACATTATAATGATTACATTGTAAGAAGCAGAAACTAGAAGTTAATCGAAGAGTCAATGCAATCACACTGTAAAACAAGATGATTTAAGTGTGAATTTCAACGCACTTCGACAAATAATCATAAACTGACATGGAGTTGTCAGAAATAAACTCAAGAGAAGTTCAACACTCAATGCAATGGGACACTAAACAACAATGTGGAACTCTCGATTTCATCACACCTTGATCAATTCTGTGTGAGCATTGAGTTGGATCTATTTTACATCAGATTGTGACTTCCATAAATTGGAATTGAATCGAAAAGTCAATGCAATCACACGGTAAACAAGATGGTTTAAGTATGGATTCCAACGCACTTCGACAAATCATCATAAACTGACATGACATTGCCATATTAAACTTAAATTCAAGTGAGTACCATGGACTCCGTCTCACTTCAAGAAACATCGTTATCGTGAAAAATTAAAAGTTGAAAATTGTATACACAATGTCACGGTAAACAAGATGGTTTAAGTATGGATTCCAACGCACTTCGACAAATAATCATAAAATAACATGACATTGTCATATCAAACTTAAATTCAAGTGCGTACCATGCTATGAAACACCCGCG